ATCGCAGCCTGCTGCTGCCATACAACAGCTACCAGTTCAGCTAGTCCCAGTGAAACCTCCAGTGTAGCAGAGACCACCTCCTCTGTGGTCTTCCTCCCTCTTGAGGAAAGTAGTACAACGCAAAGAACACTTGCAGTTCTCTCCAATTTAGGGGAAAACGTTTAACGCCGGTTTTAATAACCCATGGTAACAGGGGGAATACTGGCACACTAAAATATCCTACTGCACATGCCAGGCCATAACAGAAGTTCTGGCTTTAACTAAAATTAGCAATGCTGGAAGGAAGTGAACCAAGCCTCCCCTACGTGCTGCATCTGCTGCTGAGGGGAAGGGCATAACCTCAAACCCAGCTATGTGCGAAACCTCCCACGGGGGCACAGGGAAAGTACACCATGGCTCTCCTGCTGCTTCGCATACTTTCGCCCACAAGGCTTTTGCAGCATTCTGGCCTCCGTGAACTTGCCCATGAAGTTACCGAACAGAAAGGGACTCCTACACTGAGAGAGGGAAGATGGATTTCAGTGCAGTAATTCTGTGGCAACATCTAGATCAAGACAGTGCTGTGGAAAAGGGAAAAACTTCTCTTTTTTTTCACTCCTAAGTCTTTGGGACACAGTGAGAAAAGCCAGACAGAGATAGAAGAGACAGCAAGGCTGGCAAATGTGCATGCATAAAAAACATTTCAGGCTGATGGCTGTATGAGGAGTCTCAAGTATCTCCCCCTTCCTTGGGGCACTTAACAAGGAGGCCCTTTATATTCAGGGAAATTACCGAGACAGTAAGTTGGAAAATGGGTTCTCCACTTCAGCAAGTCAGGTATTTACAAATCACTGTTAAATGTGCAGATGTCTACTGCAAACTCATTTCTATTAAATTGTTTCAGTAATGGCATAATATTGTTATATGTAAGTGCTGCACGCCTGACAAAGTCACCCTTGTAATGCTTCACCAGTTTGAGAGAGGCACATACAAGGCAGGAGTGAATTAAAAGGCAGCATGGCACTATGTTAATGCTTAGATTAAAGACAGCACAAGATGCTACATTAATTTGCGTTGGTAGTACCTGAAGTATTTCGATGATCTTCAGCTTTGTGTCCATTACCAGGATGTCCTCTTTCTCTGGTTCACTCTGCTTGACGTTACCCTCAGGAGCAGCAGCAAGCGGAGTCATGGGCAAGAACCCACCGCCTCTGAGCACCACCTGGGTCATCAGCTCACCGACTCCATGGATTGATCTCATCACATTGCTCCCTTCAGAGAGGTAGGTAAACAGGTAAGGTTATGATGGTGTAATGGGACTGCATTAACAGGGCAAGGACCCCCCACATCCTACGAAAAGAAATTGTCTCAACATTAAACAAGGCCAGGTGGACACCTAAATCCCTGGAACAGATGGAAGACAACAGAAGCACTGCAGTACTTTCAGAAACCCCTGCCCTCTCCCTCTTTCATTGTAGGCATTACTCAGCTGTACAGCCAAGCCATAGACAGAAAGGAGTAGAAGATTTCAAATCCACATTGACATTTTGAGATGAACTAGCAACTACCAAAGAATGATCTGTTCTGCCAATCATTTTTCAGCCTTACCTTTACTTTCCTCGCCTTTTGCCATCTTGGTAATAGGGAAGATGGTAGTGATGTGCACACAGTCTAATATAGCAAGGAGGATTTTGGTTAGTCTGAGGAGGTCACAGAAGTTGTAGAAACCAAAATATATCAGATTTCTGGCTAAGTTAACAACCTACCAAAATAATAATAAAAAACCTGATTAATACTAAACGTTTTGCTGTCACAATCAAGTTGTCTTAACACAGTGAAAAGATCAAGAACCTGGCTGAGAGTCATATTCTTATCATAATACCTCATAATTCCATAAGACGGTATAGTTCTGCATTTTATCAGAAAGTTTTCTACTTGCCTACAAATACTGCAATGCCTGGAATAACAGTCTGTACCTGCAATTGATACTCTACAGCTACAAAATCATACCATATTTGTCTCATTACAGAAAAGAGGTCAAGACTAGAGGGAATGTAGAGATGCTTTTTATGGTTTTGTCTTAGGGGGGAAAAAAAAAAAAGAATCACACATCTAAAGCTTACTGCTACCAAGTTATAAAGTTTCCCCACAAGTCCTCCACATGCACTGCTTCAAGATCCACACAAAAGAATTTCACATAGTGCAAATATTTAACGTAGCCCCATTATCTGAGGTATATTCCCGCAAATACTTTTTTTAAAAAAAAAATCACATATTTTCTTAAATTAATGGTTATTTAGGGAATACTATTGCATGGATTTGCTACATTTTATTTGCACAGACAGACTATTTTAATAGGTCAGTAAGTCACAGGACACTGTATTGTTCTCTTCCTGAGTAATATGTAAGCTCTAGAGACTATATGAGCATGCAGACATAGTGTTTAGTTTTTGAGAATATTTATTCCAGTAAAGCTTGACTTTGCAATAACAGCGAGAGCACAAAAAGTAAACAGGGCTGCTGCAAATCTAAGACGTAAGCTCACATTCATTAATTGTATTTCAAGAACTATCATAGCAAACTGTCACAAACTTCAGTGGAGTTGCTTGCATGAGGAGAAAGGACTACTGCCATCTACCTGGTGTTGAAAAAAGTACCAACATTCCACAAAAAAAAAAAAAAAGAATAAAATCAGAACTGGATAACTACCTCAAAAGTGAGCTTATTTTTCTCTTTATCAGAGAAAGGGAACCTTTGACACACCACATCTCTTAAATATTCCTCTACAAATTCCATTGTTTGTGCAAATCTCTCCTTAATTTCATCTTTGGAAGTTCCACTGCTATCATAGCTGAAGAGGAAAAAAAAAAACAAAACAAAAAACAAAACAAAACACAAAACTTAGCATGCAAATACACAGGGCTCTCTTCCCCCGATACAATTTTTCATTGGTTTGTCAAAATCTAAGAAAAGTTAAAAGCTGTTAAATAATTTATCCAAACAAAGGAGTCGGGAAGCTGACACCATAATTTCCTGGCTTTTGCTGTTTTATCCCATATGCTCATTTTGCACTATTTAAAAATGTCTGAGGAAAACAAAAAAAAGAGAATTTTTTCCCAATAGATAAAAAAAGAAACCCTCATTATTTTAGTGGAAACAATGACAAGCTACGTACAGCACTAAGGCGAACGGATGCGGCCAAGAGATGCTGACTGTGAATGCTATTTTCCTTCAAATAAAAACAATATATATGCAAAGTAGACATTAATTATTCTTAATACAAATTCTAGGTTTGTTTCTCAGCGCGTGCAGACAGCATTCAAAAAAGACAATCCCCACCACCTTCCACTAACTACTTTTGTTTTCCTGTTTGATCAGTATCACTGCTTAGCCTCTGCCAGAGTTGAAGCCATTTGTTTTTCTATTTTGGCATTTAAAGTTGAATATGATCTGCTGCATCTCTCTCAGCAAAGAAAACTAGGCTAGCAAGGAGGGAAGGGAGGGAAAAAGAAGAAACCACTAAACACCAGTACTAATGCTGACAAGACTCAAATTCCTAACATTTAACATAAATTTTAAATGTTCATTTTCTCCAACCAAAAAAATTGAGTTCTGAACAGTTGAAGTACTATAAATTTTAAATTATTTGTGCTATAAAAAGTTGATAGAAGTCTATGGTCAAGAAATCATATCTCCAGTCTAGCTGTGGTTTTGTGTAGGTTTTTCACCACTCTATCAGAGTATTTTGCATTGGAGGTTAAGGAACATGACTGTCTCCAGCATATTACTTGTTTCAGCATCTTCCCCCTTGTTTTTCCTTTTGATTGTGTGAGCTACCGTATGGGCAATCTGCCCTGAAGAGTCTACACTCCAATCAAATAAGGCAGCAAAAATGAAATAGTCCTCCCTTGCTTTCCCCCCGCCCCAGGGGTAGGTCACTCGTCACATCACCCAGATCAGAAACAGACCATCACTGTGATCACTGCGTGTTTTGAAGACAAACCCCTACTGCCTCATAGCTTACACCACGCACGTACAGGACGGTTATTTTGTTCTCAGGAAGGTTCTCCAGCAAACATTACAGGCAAATGAAACTATTGGGTTTGAATATGTTACGGATTTTTTTTTAAATTTTATTTTTAAACAGAAACAGTATAAATAATGCATGAGTTTAAAATTGATCTGGTTTTGTTTTTAAAAAAAAAAAAAAATCAAGAGTGATGTAATTTCCTTTCCCACACCATTCCGGCAAGTACTTACTCGTCAATAGCAATTTCAGAAGGTATTTCAGACCACAGACGAGCATACTTCACTGGTGTTACTTGTTCTTGGGGGTCACGATCAACGTGCATATGAAGCATTAGCCGGCAGAAAGATGCTCTCAGATCATATGGCAAGTTTTCATCAGACATGCAACGGAGAATGAGGTCCACATCCAGCTGGCCAGATATTTCATTTATGGCTAAGTACTGTCGATCAAGGCACATTCTAGCAAAGAGGTTTAGTTGGTATCTTCAGGGGAAAAAAAAAAAATACATAAACAAACAGCTTATACTTTAATTTCCAGAAACGTCCACTGGGTATAGTACTGATATGCTCTTGTATGTATTAACAGAATGAATCTTATATTTTCCATTAATATAGCTATACTTATTATGGAAAGAATAAAGTATTAATCAAACACTAGTAAAATATAACACAGTGGAAAAATAGAATGCAAGGAGTCATCGTATTTTTCTGAGTGTTACACAGAATTAAGTAATGCTGTTTATGAAAGCTACAGAAGAATCCAAAGAACACTTAAGGCAACTCAGCCTAAATACTGTAGAAGACCAAATACTTCTTACTGATTCTGAAGCCACAGTTGTTCACTAAGGCAACAACGTAGATGGACTACAGAATCATTAAAAATCAGGTACCTGATTAAACAACTACTGAGCTCTGCTCCCTTCAGTCAAAGAATTGTTAGAGAAAAACGAAACTTAATTCCTAAGCTTTTCAGTCCATAAACTAAAAGCAAGCAACTGGCATTTAAGGTATGCACATTCAACAGACTGATAATTAGCCTTTAGTCATAAAGCACATGTCCAACATTCATAAGTATTCATACAGGCTTGTGTTGAATAGTGTCAACTGTGAGGTTTCCTGAAGAAATGAACATTTAATTGAAAGTAGACTCCTTTTCCACTCTCAGCACTCCTCATGGGAATTTGACCAAACCGTACCTTAAACCCTTGTTTAAAGCATGTTCACAAGTCTATAATGTAGCCTAAAAACAATTAACACTATCAATTCTACTTAAAAACAAGTGCAAGAAAATCTATTTTGAAAGCAGATATAGTTTTTAAAAATATGTACAAGAGGTCTCCTTTTGAGCTCAGCCCTCCAATAGGCTCAAATAAAAACATGTATTAAGAAGTCTACTGCAAGAACCATTTCAATGGAAGAGATAATGCAAAAACTATTAAAAAAAAAAAATCTAGTTGAACTTTTTGCATCACCACAATCGGGTCCGTCAAACTACTCTCAGAAGTTTATAACCCAGACACAGGAATTCGGTCTGGGCTGAAACCTGATCTTACACTATGCCAAGAACTCAGTGTCTTGTCAAGTCATCTGGAAACATCGCTTCATGTCAGAAACTGCTAAAAGCATAACTTAAGCTGTACAAAAGAGCACTGCACATTAATCAAACCAAACTTGTGGTATTTTCATAACTTCATATATTGTCCTGCTGAGAACTACAGGACCACTAAAGGCTTTGAGCTTACAGAGAAATTTGGAAGACAGGGAGAACGGCAGTGCCTTCTTTAAAATCAAAAGCAAAGCCATTTGCACACTGCAATCCTGTTCTTCCCACAAGCGGTTGTTCACCCCAACTACCACCTGAATACAGGTAACCTAAATGGTTAACATACAGGCTCTGTCATAACACCCACTTATCAGGAAACCAAGCAGAAATACAGGCATTAAGTGCTGTACAAAATCAATGCACTCTAAACCTCAACTATTTTTTTTTTAAATCAGTTTAAACTTGCTTATGCTGATAATTTGACTTCTCACCGTGAATAACTTTGTGGTTTTAGCTCTCACTTCTAAGAGACTTCATCCTCACTCTCTAATGGCTATTTTGTCCATGAAACCAGTATCCTTTCTCTCAAACCAAGTACAGCCTATACCCCAAAGGCTTCCCCACACAGCCTTGATGAACTTTGCTAGCCAACTACTGCACATGTTGTTAACCTGTAGTAGCTGAGTACGTCCCGATCTTCCTTCTGCCCTTCCTTAGCATCCTGAGCCAACTCTCTGATACTCTTACTGCGGATTTCCTTGTTACTGTCTCTCCAGAACAACCACACTTCTTCCTCATCTTCTCCAACTTCCAAGGCATTTTCTCCACTTGACACTTCTTCAAACTCAAATCGAGAGAGGACCAGCCTGCCAGAAGGAAGTTAGGTTAGATTACAAACTGCCAAGACCCATGCAGATCTTTTAGAACATTTCTTTTAAGACACTTGCTAAAAAAGACACTTGCTAAAATGTACTGGTGATATAGAAGTAACTAATTTTATGATCTCACCGGCATTCAGAAAACACAAATTTTGTTCCTCAACTCTGCGAAGTAAAAGCAGAGTATCTTACTCTTTCAGCAGTAGCAGTTTACTACATAAAATCTCTGGGTTTTAATAATAAAAGCATTAGGTTAGAATGAATTTGGATTATAAACTCTCCATTCAGCCTTAAAAAGACCAACATTTCAGCTCCATTCAACTGATGAAGATAAAGAAACAAGGAAGTTAAAGGCACGTCTAACTGACTTTCAAAAACATCTTTACAGGAGAACTGATTCAAAGATCATTCAACAGACTAGGAAAGGATTTGGTAAGCAAAAATATCTAAAAATTTATTAGTTCTGTATCCCACAAATGCCAATTGGATCAGAACTTCTTTCTGTTTACATGGCAAAATAACTCAAAACAAATCAGCTACTAAAACTAAAAAGGCTTTGGGGGCTTTTAGCTCTTCAGCAAAAAAAGATCATACATCTGAAAAAAAGACAAATTAAATACACAAGGATAAGAACAAGTAAGTGATGTAGCAACTTTAAGTGCTGGTGGAAATACAGTCTTTATGATTTCATGAAGAGAATTAAGTGTGCAAGAATACTCTCATCCATTTGAGTTTTAAATACTACCTGACAAAGACCTGCTTCCCTTTTACAGTATTTTGATAAGGATTATCTGTGCCCTATTCCACATATCAAATAAACCCATCTTTATGAAAGATAATTGGAATTTGGTGCCTGCTATGATGTTTCAACAATGGCAGGCCAACGCTGAGAGGTGGAGACCAAAATCCTAACCGCAGAGGGAGAAATGGGTGAGCAGAGATGCATCAGCTTCTGCTTTGCTGCAAGCTGAGCTCAGTGGGCACGCATCCAAGAAGCGCTCGCTCACTTCAGACAGCTTATGGAGGAAAGCCTGAAGCCCAGAGGAGGATCAGGCCCACAGGACCCTGCACACCTTCCTGCAAAGTCTGTCTACTTTGATCAAATGTGAGATATCTGAAAGAGTTCTCTGACTGCAGGACCGAGAATGCATATGGCAGACATCTGCTGTCATCAATACCCATTTACTGTGTATTTGAAGAGGACCCCACACATACTTAACTGCATTCTCTAGATGTGCCAGCAATGCTCTCAGCCTTTAATCACCTTCCTTCTGTTTCACGCTAGGAAAACTATTTTTAAAGGTATTAACTTACTTAGTTTCAATGAGAATGTCTGCATTTGCTGGATTCAGCACGGCTTTACAAATCAACTCCTGTGTCACTGGAATAGACTTGTTCATGGAAACGCACAAATCTGAGAGGTAATCCAAAAACCTGTTGGAAAACGTGAGCCAAAAGGGTATCAATCCTTGTTGAGATCTAGACTGAAGCAATCTACATTTCAGAAAGAAAACATTCAGAACTCCATTTTAACATTGCAGAGTGAGACTGTTGCCCGAGGGGGAAGTTATGGCGAGTGCCAAAAAAAGAAGTGAACTAGCTGTGCTTCCTTACTAGCATGTTGGCAGGTACAGATTTTTCTCAGAAGGCTAAGAGGAAAAGGGTAATCATATACTCAAAAACGTGGATCTCACCTGGGCTCCCTATTTTTCCTCACGAGACTAACAAAGGTGTCAATCTCGGCAGCTGTGATGTGCTTCTCCAAGAGTTTGCGATTGTTATGAAGCAATGCTGTAATAGTGTCCTCGGCCAAGACATCATAGCCAATTTGCTTCTGCATGAAGCCAAACTGCTTCGCAATGTATTCCTTCAAAACATAGAGGGAAGAAGGAAGGTGGTGTAATTAATTCTCAGAATTTAAGAAAACAATCAATAACAGAAAACAATAAGATGTTTGTTAATATCAACAACCCAAGAAGCGAACTGGATTGGATTCAAATTGTTCTTCTTTTGAGAGAGTGCAAGTGATGACAGATACCTTAACACCTCCCTCCCTCCTGGGCTAGACACCAACAAGGCATTTATCCTTATCTGATATGAGTTTGTTTTTAATAAGTGGCAACAAAAAATGTACAGCCTTAATTCACAATGGAGCTTGTAGGATGCAAGAGTGAAGAAAGTGGGTGAATCCAGAATTCAGAATCCAGAATTCACCTAGATTTGACAGTTAGCAATTCTGTTGTTTTCTCAGATTCCCCTTTCAACTGGTACTAATTACACTGCATATAGTCTCTGACAGAGATGAAGAATACCAGATAGAGTAAAACTGAGCAATCCAAACATTTCTTGCTGACTGTACAATCCCAGCATAGCATAGCAGGGTTTAATGCTATGTAGCTTTTATTTTTTTGGAGCACAGGAACAATGTTAGTGCCATTGAAAGCTACAGACATATTTCAAACCTGATTCTTTCTGTAATCCTGCTGAGAGTGTCTCAGCACTCTGTAGCAAAGCCGGCATATGTGTCTGAAGGGAGCATGACGCTGGTCTCCAAGCTCTTCCAACCGCAACATTGGGCCATCACCACTGTCTGTAAATGGTGCTTGCAACAACTTGAAAATCTATGGATTTATTAAAAAACAAAGATAAAATCCCATGAGGCACTGCCTTCATCTGATTAAAATTAGTGTCAAAGCACTGTGTCAGCGTCTTTAAATTTCTAAAAGGTACATCAGAAATGCACTATAGTTACCAAGTTTGTTGGCCATAGAGTAGCCTGGACAGAAGTCATTGCTGATCACCTTTACTCAACACCGTATTCTGTAACTTTTTCTTCTAGCAATGGTATGCCTACAGTCCACCACCAAGAGCCTGCTGAAAGCTAGAAACTCGAAGGATCTTTTGATCCCAATAATTTGGCCAGGTTCTCCGTTATTAGTTTCTCTTTTCTGACAACCCTTCTTGTAGGCAGAGTTTAGAGAAAAATGCAGCCTACCTGCTTCAGAATATTCTGCTCTCTCATCAGTTTTTGCCGTTCTCTGTTAGGTTTAGAAAATACTACTTCCAGGACGTCTTGTCCAGAATTAGTTCCACCAGTAACAAAGTAGACCAAGTCTTCCAACAATTTGGTAACAGATCTATAGAAAAGCCAGAAGTTGTTAATACAAGACTACAAATTCTATCTGTTAAAAGAACAATGCCAGTGTAAGTTTACATAGATTTCAAAAGGCTAAATGAAAAAAGAACATCAATTAGAAACTGACTCAGATGCTGGATAAGGCACGTAAGTATGTACAGAACTTAAAATGAGGAACTAATGCTCCCTGCTGCTGTAACTTTACTGTCTAATAGCTAAACCATAGCAGCAGTAAGACAACGGTATCACTTTAGGGCAACTAGACGCATACCAAGTTCTATCTGGCAGTTCTTTAAACTGCCGGGGGAGGGCGGGGGGCGGCGAGAAAAATAAAAGAATCAGGTGATAATCTCTCCCAAGGCCAAATAAGAGACACTGGCTATAGAAGCACATAGGCCCTGGTTTTACACAGCCGACTCTGCGCTCTTTTTGTGTGGCCATGCACTTCTCACGGACATTGTCAGAGGATTTGCAAGAAGTCATGTGTTCAGTCTTCACAAGATGGATTATAAATTCCCACACTCGATTTGCAAAGCCCATCAAGAAAGGTATGCTGTGGATAATTCCTCCAAGTTCACAGCAACAGTTCTCATGCTCTCATTTCAGAGCAACAGGGAAGGCTTGACAGAACAGGCTTGAAAACCTCCACTATGGACACATCAACAATAAAACCATCAACTTTTTTTTTTTTTAAATCTAATCAAGTGGGAAACAAAATCCCTCTCCTGAAGACAGCATACATAGATAAAATTTTCAAAGAAACAGTTACTTAGTAAAGGAAACAACATTATCTGAAGCAAATTCTTGCTTCCTTACCTTCTTTCATTCTGGGTTATTGTTCCCTTTTCCAACTTGCCAGCAATGGAACCTAAAACCTTACTTGCATCATTTGCAAAATCCAAGTCCCGAACCTCTGCAGGAGAAACTGGTACTATAGCAAAAGCTTCTTTGTCCTCTTTCACTGGAGAAGTACCAATCTGAAACCCAGAGAAGTTTTATCATCAAACCAAAAGGCAGAAAACAAAGTAGTGACTCATATATTCAGTGATAATAAAACAGAAGAAAAGCCACGCTCCATTTAGACAGTATGAGGCTACTGATGAAGTCAAACTTTGAGAACTCAGAGGTTCTGTGCAAACTCACAGGTGTTCCTAAATCCAGAGAAACATCAGGAGAGACTGCAAAATGTTCCTGTAAACAGTGGCAAAAATTCTCCTCGTGATGGCTGTTGTACAGTAGAAATTGAACAGCGTAACTAGTAAACTACTATGAAAACCTAATCTTTTAGATAAAACGTTTTGCATAGGCACTATTCATTGCTGTTAAGTTGCTTGCTGTTTGACAAACCCAGCAGTCTCAAGGGACTGGAACTTCTCCTACCAACAACGCTTTCGTGAAAGTACAGGAATCAAAGAATGTGCTTACATAAAGTAACAGGACTTACTTTAAGCATCACAGGTTTCTCCTCTTCTTTATCAATAGGGATATTGGTACTATGAACCCAGGTGTTAGTGCAAAGGTGTCTAAGTCTGACATAAGAGTTCCTGAAAGAAAGTCAAAAGTTTCAAAGCACGAGTCAGTTTCCCAGATGGGAAATCTTCGCATTGTTCGAGTTGCAAGATGTTGGCAGGAACAAGTGGAGAAAAAAGTGTCATCTTTATACATGCTGCATACCGTAACAGGAATAAGACTCTTCTTTCCTTATTTCATTCTATAAATTCACCTTAAGAAGTCTTCTTATATAATGAAATAGATTCTGCTGTAAAACAGAACTACATCTATATTTTGTTGCTGTAAATCAGCTGCTGCACAGTAACAAATTAAGCCTCTTCACGTCCTCACGTTTCGACATGCTATAGTGTATCTGAGCTGTCAGCTTCCTCCCTTGCCTTTGTATTTGCAGCCCATAACTCCCTGCTATCTATTTTGTATTTTCTAAACGGAGAATTTTTTGACTCTTTGTATAGCTAGTCAATGTTGTACAAGCATCAAAGGTCCATTAAGACACCAGAACACGAGACTAGCACGGAACAATTTTCTGTAGCAGAAGTCCTATGGGGACAGCAATTCCCAGACTTAGATTTCTCAGGTATTTCTGGCAATGACGCTATTTTGCATGTACCAGCTCTTTGACAGAAGATGCCACAGTCAGACAAGCATCGTAGGCCAGTTAAGAAACAGTCTCTCAGCTGCAGTACAACCTCCTCTCTCTACACAACCATGTCAGCCCGAAGGACAGAAGAGGCAGCCAGGACGGCTACTTTTGGTGGCCGTGTTAACTTCTGCTAACTTAAGAGTACCTGATGATTTAGAGAGTTGTTTAAGTAAATGGAACAAATACGCTGTGCTTTCTCAGTGGCAACAAAGAGCCTGCATACAACTGTGTATCTTTGAAGGGTACAGCATCTTTTAAGTAGCAAGAGGTACCATATGAACAGTAAAGGACGTGTAAACAATAGAAAATGAAGCGCTAAATACTTGATGATGCATCCTAGCTAACATAATACAGACAGGTCATGGGAGTAGCTTGATAGGACACTCAAGGCTTTTAGACCCAGTTTGTTCACTGGCAAGGAAGTCACTTAATCTCAACTTTCCCATCTGTAAAATGGGGTTCTGTTACTTATAACTCAATTGTAAAGTACTAAAGTAAAGCTTCAGGCACTTGCTAAGTATTTCCATATTAATTTGCGGAAGAAACTTAATTCCAAAGGATTAAAAAAAATAGCGGGATACAGCCTTACCTTAAAAAAAAAAAAAAAAAAAAAAAAAAAAAAAAAAAAAAAAAAATAATAACAACAACAACAACAATAATAATAACAATAATAATATCAAAATCCAAAGCAGATAGTTAGTTCTAACAGTATGCTTAGCTGTACCTGGGGACAAGGCTGTCTCCTCCTCGCAAGGTGGTAGGGTCCAACTCAAATATGGAAGAGATATCATTTCCTTCAGGCACAGACACCAGAGAATATGCCATCTTCTCCTGAGCACTGCGCAAGCCTCTTCTGGAGGCATCCTGCTCAGGGTCCAGCTGTGGAAGAAGTCCCATCACGCACAGTCAGACCAAGCCCTCCAGACCCACCCGCCTAGTGTTAAATAGATGTGTCCTGTAATTTGCAGACATAACACTGAACCACTCCAAGTACTAGTTAAGACAGCTGGGCTTTAGTACACCAGTAAAACTGACAAGTGTGCCAACCATGTCTTCGCGTTTCCTGGTGCTAGTAACTTCTGAGTATTTCTGGATCACAAACACAATAAATCCTAAACCACAGAGGTTATGTCTTGCACACACTGCCAGAAGAGACTCAAAATCCCACGGGCATTCACCCCACAGCGCACTGGGAACTCTGACGAGTTTCAGATGACCCGCATCTGCTAAGATTCCCACCCCTGACACTATTGGCTTTTGAAATGTATTCAATGTACTGCAATTATCATTCTTACAAAGTAATTATGTGAGCTGCAAATATTAAAAAATCAGCAACACTATGTACCAACAATCTTGCTGGGAAATAATCAACTTCAGCAGCAGAAACAGGACTCGCATCTATCCATCACAGACAAATGAAACAAAAGCTAATCAAGAAGTTAGCTGTCTTGCTGTTCACACTTCAGCTTATGATGCACTCGAACACAATGATACGCTACAAAGGACATGGCGTCAGAAGTATCTTTATTTCCAAGGTGCTAGCAAATTACCAGCCTCCTTTAAAAAAGTAAAGATACTAACATCATCTGAGCAAAACCCTGGATTTTCAGATGAAAGGACAAAAGGGTAGGAAAAAATAAACTACGAAAAAGGAACAACAACTTTCTCTAAAACCTTTCCTAGGGAACTACCAGTTATCACTAATCAATAAAAAAGTTGCTGTCTGACAAAACACAGGAGCCAGCTGTCCATGTATAAACATCTAAATCCTAAATGTAACTTTCAAAGTGATCAAGCAACCAATTTATCGGTTTCTCTGTGATCTTGGCACCAGTGGAAGGTGCCCGAGGTGCCTACTAGGCACCCAAAGTAGTCAGCACTCAAGTACCTGTCTTTCAAAGTCCTGGTGTAAGGCATTGAAATCCTTAAACATAGAGAAAAGGTATCTAACATTGCTTGTGCCTCAGGATACTCTGTAGTTAGCACATTTGTAGTCAATTAACTTGTCTGCAAAGTAGTGACATTTTAAGTCTGATTTTGCACATGGGAACAGACAGCTGTATGGAACAGAAATACACATTGGGAGTGTGCCTTCAAGAGAAGAAGCAACTATACACTGAATAGAGTCCATCTGGAGGCTTTACACCAGGAGAAATTCGCTCACTTGGAATGAATTCTCTGAGTTTCAGCTGTCTCCTTCCTCCCCACAGTAAGGCAGCTGCTCCGTATTCACAGTTTGTACTTCAGGAGACAACTGGTCAGTTATTGGTACTGTGGCAAAGCTGAAAATGAGTAGTAAATCAGAAAGCAGGAGATGAGGCAATTTAGGGAGAACTAAAACTTCAACCGCAAAGTTGACAAAAGCTGTCCCCTTTCATGTTGCAAGGGTACTAGCTGGCATCTCACCCATGCCCATTTAAACCCCATTCTTGTACAGCTCACTGAGGTATAAGGAGAAAACAACAACAAAACACAGAGCTGTGGTGAGAAACCTGCCATCTTGCAGAGAGTTCACATTTAGATACAGTTGGAGTTTGGATAAAGTTGGATAAAACAGCCCACACCATCGTAGTCACTAGTGAATGTTAAACGATACAGTAATTTTGTGTCAGAAATGAATTATGTGCTCCTGATCCTATTCTTTATGGTCTATCTTTGCCACCTAGTGGTAAAGAGACAGAGCAGAGAAAAATCAGCACAACTCTGAAGCCAGTGCATTATCATTATTACTGCACTTATTATCAGATGGAGACATTAGCATAACACTAGTAGGATGGATGTCTACATAAAAGACCTCGACACTGATTAACTTGCAAAAAGTTAAGCCAACAAAATGGTTCAATGTTGCCTTCCCCCAACAATAGCTTTGTGTGCATGTGGGGGGGTGTCATTTTTTCATTTTTCCAGTATGTTAACTGAAGTTAAGCTGTCCGAAGATCAGTGTTTGCTGCCAAATACTACCAAGAACTAATCAGGATAACGGCTCAATATATGGGGACAAGGGTAAGTGTTTTAATGGCCAGGCTATAATGACAAATCCTTTTAGGAGGATAACTCCACCTCAGAGGATTTCAAAGCATCGCAGTGCATGTTTAAAAATCAGAGGAGTAGTTCTTTTTCACATCCAAATGGAGCAAATCTTCCATAATACAGGATAAATGACCAAGAAAGCTACATAAGCCTACAATCAAATCCAACTAAAAAAATGTAATGCACAATGGAAAGTGCTGTTCCACTTTTATCTGTTTTCAACTACTGAAGCAATGCTGTTTCCCTTTGACACCAAAGAGAAGCTTCTATTAGTACAAAGCATCAGCACACTCAATCTTTGACACAACAACATTTACCGAAAACAACACAGACTTGCTTTCACAGGAAAATCAGAAGAATGGCACTGAAATGATTCTCAGCCTGCCATTCTTGCTCTCTAGACCCTTTATCCTGGCTTTCCTGTGACAAGCCAAAACAAGAGAGGGAATTCGTTTCTTAAACAAGGAGGTCAGACAACTGACTGGAACAGCACTACGAGAACATCCCCTAAGGGACACTTGCCATCTGGTGTCACCTTGAGCAACTTGCTTTTCAGACCTATTCAAGAGTGCTTCAAGGAAGCAAAGGTTTAAGAAATAGGAAGACAGAAAGAGAGATGCTACAAAGGGGGGAGGTGAGGGGGTCCAGGTAACGTATAAATTTGGTTCCAAGTGCATTGCTCTTCACTAAAGCCTAATGCAGTTTTCAATATCCACTCCTCTGCGTAGACCTTAAAAGCCTTTAGATCATTCTCAGTTTTTTAGTTTCTTCACTAGCAACAAAGCCTGGACCATCTATGCACTGGCCCGGTAAATACCTGGGTCTGTGTCAAGCCCTCCTCAATTAGGGGCAAGATCATACTCTTGCCTATACTTACTGAGGATTGACACTCCAGGTCATCTTCCTCATAGTCAGGGTTTACCTGATGAAACAGAATCACAGGCACGTCAAAACTCTAACAGAGCTGGAAGTGGGAAACAACCTCAGCACGGTCTAAACTTACGTTGTAAAAAATGCACTCTACTGCTACAGCACTACCAGGCATGCAGAACAAATATACTGTGCAAACCGATTCATTTCTAATTGGGCATCTGTCTGTCCATGAATTAAGCAGTTAAGGAATCTGCAAGCATGCAGAGAGATTTATCTTGTTCAGGATAATCACTAAAGGAGCAAGAGGGGTAGAGAGTTACCAAGTTTCAGTTTTTTTTTTTTTAAATCCCAAGTGGAATTTCCAACTAGAAATTACTGGCTTGGTAGAAATCTTTCAGAACAAACACTATTCTAAACATGGATCAGGTGAGCAATCTCCTCTGGTACATTTCTGCATGATGTAAGACCACATTTTTGTTTTGGCTGATTAGCAAACCCAAGATTTACTGGAAAAGCTCTATACTGGATCACTACTGAAAAGGATTTGCAAGTGCGCACGTGACAAAACGCTGCTGTTTTTCCAATCTGCTTATTAGAAGAATATAAAATGGGATATTTAATCTGGACTTTTCCCACTGAAGCTCTCAGGTCAATAGTGTGGGCTGAGACAGCCCTTCTGCCCTGCTATGCACTCTTACATCCAGGACAGCTTTTACTTACAGAGGTTTGTGTATTGGCATGTTGATATATCCATGCTTTAAAGTAAATAGAAGTAGTTTTAATAAACATTTACAAGTGTTAAGCAGCAAAACTCACAAAATTATAACCCTTAAGACTTTTTTTTTTTTTTAACTTTTTAATAAAATGTCTTGAAATCTTATTTCAACGGGGGAAAGATGTCCGCTATGGAGGGAGAAAAAGACTTATTTGTTTTGTGCTCGGACAGCTAAGCGTTATCTGCAGTTCTTACAAGACTGGTCTGAAGTCTAACTGCATTTTCATTTTACAGTCAGTTCTACAATTCCACTCGGAATCAGTGATTCAAGAGAAACTAACAATAGTTGAATTCATTTTCCCCCAAAGGCTCTCAGCCATTTGCAATTTATTCATCTATTAATAAATTCATCTTGATTCTACTGCCCACATGACAGGATACTATTTAGTGTCTATTCTTTGCAGGAGAAGAGTTATTGTCTCCAGAATTCATACAAAAAGTGAAATAAGCTCAAGACTACCACTGTACCGTGGTATTCTTTCAAGCCTCTTTCATCTTGTATTCTATGTTTAGCCATCTACTTTTGTATTAATGCTAAGGACCCAAACACCACTCTCGTCCCCTCCCCTGTGTCTATTTTTAGGACAGGAAATGAAAGATTTTCAAAAGGTGTAAAAGGAAGAAAATACCATGGAAGGAAAGGCAGAGCCTCTAAGCAAACCCCAACACCTACCTCTGCTGCTAGGTAGTGTCCAGTAGCAAGGTGTTTGAACCTGAAAAGGCTATTCCAGTACCCCGCGCCACCACGACAAGGATCATGCTGCACCACCTACAAGGAAAGGGAAACCACATTTACACCGTAGGTCAGCGACCTCCCTTTCAAACACAGCATCTAGCGTACCTCATGTACAGGTAAGAGGAAACAGAACGAGGAGCTCTAGAAAAAATGAAACCACCTTTCATACGTGAACAACACACAGCACAGTAAATACTTTGAGCAGACTACAATTAGTTCACCTCAACAATTTATGAACATTGATTTTCTGCTCATTGTCAAGTGACAATATCTGTTTGCAAAGTCACTGACCACAGCTAGTACTCCACTGGAGTCTGGTGGGTGATGGCAGGAAGATTATGCTGCAAGTTGGCAGAGAAGTAATTAAAGAAGGTGCTCTAGATGTGCATGTCTTGAAAGGCCTTGAAAGAAACCTCCTGAAGAGATGCAACAGCTACTTTAATTTTTTGACATAACTAATTTTTGACCTTCTGAAAGTAGGTGAGGGAAGACACCTGGAAATTTTCAAACACAATGGTGTTGTATAAAAGAATATGAAGACTGTCATATTTACTCTCACTTCTCTGTTGTAAGAAGAGCCTCCAACGTCGGATGATCTGTTACTTCCTATCGACCACTCTGTGGGTGCACCCACTTCCTTAGGGAAAAGTCAGCATAGCTGAGCTGTGCCTTTCGGGGAACGACTACCTTACCTCTGCCTTGCATTTACCACCAGGTAACTGCATACACAGGGACAGTTACTACAGAAGCTACTGATGTGTTGCAACATGTCAAAGTAATGTTAATTATAGGTGGGCTTTCAATTCAAATAGGGGAAAAACTGTATATCAAAGCAGATACTTCTGGAAAGCGAATACGAAAAACACCTATCCACCATTACGATTAATTTTATGATTCTCACATTGCAGTTCACATGGCAAACATTTAAAATCATAAAACAATGCTAGTCACACCAATAGAGTGAGGATATTTTAAGAAGCCAGTGATAGCCAAGGTGTTAGTCACTCTTTTTAAAAGCCAAGTAAAGAAAAAAAAAAGTCCAGATAAGCAACGCACAGAGACTCGCAAAGGGTTGCAATCTCCTATCAAATGAGGATATGCATAATCACATTATTCCACAGCAAAAATAGAGTGTTCAGTACACTCAGCAGGACAGTTGAAATTATTAGCCGGTGTTAAACTTTAGTGACTGGTAAGAAAATTACTTCATAGATGCTTCTCTGTCCCCTTTTTCTGAATTGTCAAGAATCTGAATTTGAGAGCTATCTGCTGCAGCATTAGAGATCAGAACTCCGTTTTGATTTTGCACAGAAAGCACAGTAAGTAAAGGAATTTTAAGATTAAACTTCTAACACCAGGAAGACTAAAAAAAGAAATCCAGGTACACTGTTTTTAAACAGAAACAGTAATTGTTCCTACAAAGCCACCCCCTGCCTGGGTTACAACTCTTACCTCTACTTCCCACAGGGCTTTTGAACTGGTTGCAGACGTGGCCGACTGCCTCCCTGTCGTTCTCAGGAAGACATGCTGCTTCTTCCTGTGCTCATCGCAAGTCAGAAACTTCTCCTGTTCTGCATGAAACAGCCTCACCACATCCCCCTGTCAAAGACCAGGCAGCATAGTCAATACACGCATTACCCATGAGTGAACAAGTCACAAACAAGTAGAGTTTTGAGTCTTACCCCTTTCAGAATATCATCTTTGTTATCACTCCATTTCATGAAGAGGACTATTTTCCAGCTTGTATTGCAATTCACAGAGTTGACCTAAAAGGAGAACTAAAACCATTAGTCCCAATATCTTGTGCCTGTACAAGTTACTGCCATAAAGTACTGCCTTACCTTTTAGACAATTTTCAGCAGAATACTGCAGTCCCTGTTGCATTGCTCTAGAGAAGGAGAGCCCTTTCTGCATTTACTCCAGAACAAGTAACTACAGAGCTGGCTTGCTACGTATCACTGTGCCATGACTTTTGATTAAGAAAACTTTTATTTTTAGTTAGTCAAGCAGAAGAGATTAAACTCAAACCTCTGTCCAGTGCCCAACAGATACAAGAAATTCTGACAGCTATATTAAGTTGCTGATTAACAAGATAACCACACTGCCACAGGTACGAACCAACTTACTGATAACCTGATTTTCATAAAACACAAGTCTTAGCAGCTTAGCTGAAACATACAGAGGTTTGTACAGTTGCTCCAGCTGTGTCAGTCTGCTCTTACCTCATTGCATCCTGGATTATCGACAAGCTGATGACTACTGGCGTGGAGAGGCTGGCCAGCGTTGACGGGATTCAGGACTACTTTGTCTCCGATGACAACCTGTAGGTAAGTGCAGCATCAGACAGAAACTTGCAACCTGAGAAAGCTCTTTTTCTTTCTTTTTTTTTTTTTTTTAATGGGAGTGATGGGAAGAAATCACCTTCTTGCAGTTTGGAGCAATGCCAGCCTGAGTATGAAAACCAGGATTCTGTTTACTTCAGAATTTGGCTCATCGTACTCAGTCACTCAGGCAGAAAAAAAACCCTATACTATCGGACTCAGAGGCTTGCAGAAGAAACACAAACTGCAGTTCTGGTAACTAACCTATCTGCTGCTTTCCATGAAGTTGTTTCATTGGTTAACATTCAACAAATAATTCCTATAGCAAAAGGTCAGCCAAAAATCCTCCTCCTCCAAGACTCACTTTAATTTGTAGAATCAGATTCTTGACCAGGCTGGCATATGACTCAAGACAAATGCACTTTATTATGGACATTAAAGGTCCTGTTCTTCCCTTCTTCTAGGGCAAAGTGTTACTTAAACTAAAAACCAAAAGGCCTTTTCTGTATCGAAAAGAACTGTTCTTAGTCATAAAGTGTCTGAGAATTGGGGCGATTTAAAAGAGCTTAATGGCCGCTAAGACTGCACTACCTTGTGCTTTGGCTTTACCGTGTGTGTGTGTGTGTGTGTGTGTGTGTGTGTGTGTGTGTAGAAAAGCAACAGTTGCATCAAAACGTATGGGGCTACTCTACAGGATAAATTATTCCTATTTGATAAAGGCTGCTATGTTTAGGGGCCAAATATATACCTGGACTATACCACAGAGCACACTGAAGCTTATTACCTCGTGTTTTTAGGCAGACAGTATACCCAGGTGACTCAGGTTTGTAAAAAAGAGATTAAATGATTAAAACGGTAATGCATTTAATTCAGAACCAATTATTTTCCAGATCTCCCATGAACAGGACCATTTAACCTCATTACCACCCCATTCCTCATATACAAAATGATGATGAATTTTGATTTCAAACTGACAACATTGAAAACCAAGATGCTAATTATTTATTCCAAATCTACTGAAGGAACTCAACATTTCCTACCATATTGAATTGGACAGGAATTGTGAAAGGCTAGTGTAATTAGGTCCCTTATTCCCTCGAACGTGAAATCATTCCATGTTTCCAAAATACAAGTTACCATAGCAATTTTCCTCCCCCTCATGATAGCATAGGAAAAAAGTTGTTCCTGCAACATCACACACTAAATGATCTGTGCATTTCATTAATTGCAAGACAGGACTCCTGAAACAAGCTTTGCCAAGCTGTGCACAAAGTAATACGTGAAGATACTCCTCTTAGCACTTACACTGTCTCCAATGGAACGCAGTTTGTAGAAGGGCTGTATGTAGAACCAGGAACCTTCATTTCCAGCTTCATCCAAGGTCACCCTCATAGCATTCTTCTCTAGTAGAGCTGGAAGCCTCTTATTTACTGTTAAGTATTTGTTACTTTTTAAGTGAAGCAGCTAGAATAAGAATTAGAGTTCAGTTCTAAGAATGCTCATTTTTTCTCCCCTCAATACATAAGCGAGTGTGCATAAGATAACCACAGTATTATACAGGAATTAAAATAAAAACTAAATTATATAAAAATATTTATGAATTCAGGCACAATTTCACTTACACTTCTTTCAGTATATATAAAGCACTAAACACCTTCAGCTAATCCAACCGTCCCTTCTCCAGCAAACGATAAACACTTAGAAATGCTCTTGTCACTTTACAACAGCCTGTTCAAAAACCCAGGATCAAAAGTTGTAAAATGCTAGGGACTAAGTGGTTTTCCCTGGTAAGAAGGGGTGGTGAGAAGTAAAGCTGCTCTTATCTTGCTTTGCTCTGTCTGATTTAACAGAAAACATGACTGCTTCTTTGAAGACTCTCTTCAAAAAAGTTCCCTCCTTCAACCCTCGGCTGCGTACCACCTCGCAGACTGCACGCCATAGCAGGATTAAGTAAGCTGCAACCGGTCACATTCCAGCTCCCGATCTACCCAGCTCCAACCAACTGTTGTTAAATTTCCAGTAAATTTAGCAGACAGGTACTTTTGTACAGAAAGAGCTTTTTCATGCCTTTTGGCTACCATAAGTAGTGGTTACTCACAGAAGGTTTGGGAGTTATGGGAAAATATGGGCAAAAACTTATCACTGCTTTTAATAGTGTTGATGTTTGTAGTCCAATCAAAAATGGATATTATTATTTTTCTTTCATCATTAAAAGTAGATTTTTTTTGCCTCAAACACATAGGCCAACAGCGCACTTAATTCAACCAAGGCAGGGACTTCCCTGCCCTTCCTCCATCAGGTTGCTTCAAATCCTGCAATTGCTTTAAACGGCAGCCAACCAATTTCTCCTTGCAACAAGAAAGCCCAGTCTGCCTGTGTTCCTAGCCACCCCCTCTGTGGGCTGGTATTATGTCAGCAGAATAAAATAAAAACCATTAGTAAAAACCAATCTAAGGCTCAAAATGCTCAGGTAGCTATCCCTAATTCTGAAGTGCTGAGGCACTCTACCTAGTGGAAGCAGGCCTGCTTTGGTTCCAGGGTGAATCTGCACCTGCTGCATATTATGTTCCCCATTTATTAAAGACCTGTCTCTTTTAATTATGCAATTATTGTACTTCCCATTTTTATTGGATTTGATGCTTTTTTTTTCCCCTCCATTCCCTGGGACCTAGCACATCCTTTGCTTCAATGGACTGCAATTACTTATATGGCTTGATTTTCCTTCTCTGTGTCAGTTTACTATTTGATGTGTCAACATTTGATTGAGAGAGACCATATTTGGCATTGTACAGTGCCTGTGCCATCTTCCAAATGGCCAACTCTAATGAAGGCTCTAAGAAGTATTTCTGAAGAAAGCAATTATATGGTGACCTCAAAAAAAAAAAAAAGGCACAATTAACCCATAACAAAAAAAGTGACTCCATCATAGCGATATGCCCAGTTCTTGCTTCACAGGATCCCACTTCAGGACACTGTCACACCCTGCAAAGCTACAGACTCTTGTCCATGAATTCCAGAAATTTAAAGTCACATTGAGCAGGGGAGTTTGAGCAAAATACTATACAGCTTCCAAAGATGCTCACAGCCTACCTGGATAACATTGCCATACTGGATGACTGTTCCCAGCAGCTTTCTGTTTTCAGTTTCATTCTGTTTCTTTTCCAAATCTGCCGCATGCTGAAATTAAAGGAGAACAACTCAATTGCTGACTGTTTTATCAAAAGTGTGGCCAAACACTCAAGGTTCTTTAAGAGTATTTCAAAGAACTGGAAAAAACAGTGAGCATCTGAAACAGCGCAATTTCTTTTTTCCAACTTCCAACAGCGTCATTTCCAATTCCCTTTTTCAGTTGTTTAGGATGACAGACACACACCATTTAAGCAATCCGTAATTTGGGTAGAATTTGGCAAAATTTTGGAATAAAACATGACATGAAAAACTCAGACGAGATAGAAGACAAGCCATGAGAAGACAACAATACACCTATGGAAGGAAGATGAAAAGGGACGGGTAACAACTCAAGCAAGGAAGTCTATATTACTTTCTACTGACTTCTATACAAATTGAAAGAAAAGGACCTCAACTTTGGATCTTTATTTTACTTTGCCAATACAGGCCCCAACTTTTCCACAGCCTGTCTTTTTATGATGACCCTAATCATCTTCTCCATGCAGCAGGATTATTTAGAAACATTTACAAATGCCTACTACAGCTCTGAAAACATGACTTCCCAACTTCCCAGCAGCAGAGAGTCGGTACTTCCTGAGGCTGAAGGATACTCTGCGCTACGTTATAGACCGGCTGTGAAAATACAGCTAGGCATACCTGTATCATACTAACATGGTAATAAAAGGGAAAGCCCTTGCAAAACTGAATTATCATAGACATACATTGTTCTATTTAATAACTTAATTTATAACTAGTCTCTTGCACTTTGTTTTGTTTTAAAAGAAGAGAGCTATTTTGCCCAGGCTGTTTTTAAACCATTTAATTTGGTAAAGAAATTCTCTCTTATTTTACATGAAAGACAATTTTTTCATTTAAAAAAAATATGTATTTGCTTTAACCGATATCTGGTAGTAGAGAGTAATTTAAAACGAGACTTTTTTGGAGGCCAAGCCGTCAATGTTTATGGTTTGGTTCTCAGATCTCAAGGACTATAGTAGGTCCAGTTTTCTCCTGGAGGAGAAGAAAGTGCCCACAGTTCCTAACTGTAGTAAGGTAAAGTAGTAATAACACAGGACAAAGCTTAGCTACTGCAAAGGAAGAGCTATCTGTATACTGTTATAAAATTTCAGTATCTTCAGCTTACACAGAATGTGCTATTTTTAGAAGTTGTGCTAGGTATGATAGCTGGCTCTTGCTCCAGGAGAACCTGGAATACAGCTGTTCATTCAAATTCAAAAATATATTCAGGAATATAATGCAACAAAATTTTCTCTATTATTGAAATACAACTTTTTTTGCTTGCTTTCAAAGTATTCTGTCGAGAAAGGATTTCTTCAAGACACTAGGGCCCTCTCAACTATCAATAGCAATCACAGAAGACAGGACTTCTCTCCCTGCACTGGATTGGGTGCCACATTTATTATAAATAAAGAAAATAGTGTATTCTGTGAAAATATATTAAGACTTTGGATGCATTGCAAAAGCACACACCGAAACTGACAATCATTCAAGAAGAAAGAATCATTTTCACTGGCCACTAGATGTCAGCTTCTCAACCAGCACTGATTCTCAATACCAAGGAAAGACAAGTGTCCCAGATTTTAAATCCCTTAAATGGCATTAACTTAAAATAACCTGACCTCAGCATTGAGCACTCCACAGCAGACAATAAATTCCACCAGCAGACAAACAGAAGCCAAAAAAGGCAAGTGATGATGAATACCTCTTGCATCACCAATTTCATTAGAAATTACATGCACTGATAAAGAAATCTAATCATGGGCAGAGCTAACAATTGTATGCACATGTTTCAGGGCACAGCCCCCCCAATACACATCATGCAAAACACAGGGGTTTTTAGTGTATTCCATGGGCCAACAAATGGAAAAGATGACACATGTACCCATATGGTTGGCAGAAAAATAAGTCTCGATATGTGAGTGATGTACATGGGAGCAAATTATTTTAAAGCCATGCATCAGCCCCAGGTCACTGACGACCTGATTTGGCACATGCTACATAAAAGATTAGCCTTTTTGTCAAAGTGATGCATATTAAATAATCTCCAGTAAAACTGTAAAGTACTCAAATCCTTTCACCAAATCAAGCAAGCAGTTCATGCATGGTGGTACATTTCTGTACGAACATCACTCAGCTGGGGCTAAATACTGGAAAAATCTAATCCTGTATTTCCATAGGGACCCCGGCACAAAATGGTAGAGTGTCAGACGAATAGGAACAGGTCCCAAACACCTGAACTGGCATGCACTGGGGAAAGAGAAGACAACTTTAAATGACATTGTAATCCAGGCCAATTACACAGTATTTTTCTTCTACATGACGCAGTATTTAGACCATACTTTCTCTTAAAATCCATGAACTCACACACATAACCTGCGGGCATAAACTCTCCCCTTCCCTTATACACCAGGAAAAACCAAACCCAGAATCCCCTGCTACTTAAACCTTGCTGACATGGTCTACTTCTCTTATCATCATTAAAGGGGCAGGAGAAATGTGGCACAAGTGAGGGACCTCTGTGCTACAGCCAGTACCAAAATAGCTTTCTCCTTGCCAAGTTAATACTTCTAGGTTATAAAATTATGTTTTCAGAAGCAAAATGAGTCAAACATTCAGCCTTTGTGAAATGCAGGAGCAAGGCAGCCACACGGCAATCAGCAAATGACACTCTCCTACAGGGCCATTTTGTATTTCAGTCTACAATGAGCTTAATATAGGCTTAAAGAAACTAAAAATATTTAGAATTGTAATTTTGACATGAAGTACTCTAGCTATGTAATTTTAACATAAACATGGAGTTTATTTAACTCTACAGTCAACAGATGGTATTTAAGTTAAGTTGGCTTTTTTTTTTAATATAGGAACTCGAAAAACAGCGATCAATTGCCTTACTGGGTTTTCAACTGCTGAATGTCAACATTTTACCCAGAAAATATTAAATACCGCAAGCTAATAAGGAAAGAGAGGCTGTCTGGCCTTATAATTACTCATAATTACCCATCAACCTTTACATGTATCAACAGCAGCTATGTTTGTTTGAGGAATCCCAATAGATTTATCAGACCAGTAGTTCAGATGGCATCTACCAGCACAGCCAACGTCCGTGACTTCCCACATCCAGATGAAACGCCTGACAATCCTCTACTCTGTGTAGTTGTTTGAAGGGTCCTGGTTTTATGCTGTTACCACCCAAAATGCCCACGTAGAGCACTACTACAGGTTAGCACAGGTTAATGACAAAAGCTTAAATGGCTACCATGACTCTAACCCAGTATCATACATATCGATATTGGGACACACAGACCTTGAAAAGCCTGTTGTCATAAATCAGATGATGCTTAAAGAGTTAGATTTCAGTGAATGTCTCAAAAGGAGTCTTGTATGCTGATTTCTACTTCCTTTCTTGGTGTCTCCGGGTTAACTGTGTCAAGCTGATTGGAAATACTTATTTACAGCAGTATGGACGAGAGTGTTGATCATCAACAGCAGCCTAAACATGAATACTTACGTGCAGTTTATTGAGTAGCACGGCATCTGTTGTGCTGTTAGCTCCTGGCTTTGCTGCTTTCCAGAACTGCTTTTGAGCAGAGTACCGGTTCATGGGACATAGTTTGAACAGGCAATCTATAAAAACAGATCAAAACCAGAGAGATTGCTTTAACCATTTGTAATTATCTGGATTTTTGCTGCTAACGTTGTCCAAATATTCCAGCAGCAAGGAAAGGTTTATAAACAAATTCCAAAAAGCTCTTGATCAGACAAATGCTTTTTTGAGCAACAGGAATGTTGCCCCGTGAATGATAAAAATTAACTGTTGCTGCCAAACATCTGATGCAAGACCAGAAAATTTATAACTTGTCCCAGTCAAAAACGCTACCATACTAAAATGGTATGCTAAAATGGTATACTAAAACATTTCAATGCTTTCCCAGGCAAACAGATCCATTTTACACTCACAACTTTTCATTTTTCTACTTTAGCAGGCACGCTACTTCACACAATTAATGTTAGGTTGGGGGTTTTTGGTTTGGTTTTTTTGATGTTGTTTATTTAGTTTTTAAATCAAACCCCTTCTATTGCTAGGGAAAATGAGGCACAACAAATTGGAGAAACTCACCTAATAAAGAAGCAGCAGCATAAAATATCCCCAAGCAATAGCACGCACAAGCACAGACATTCAAAGCATAGTTCCAGGTAACAGTAAACCCTTCCGGGTGTCGGGTTCTTTACCCAGTCCATCAACACTGTTTATTTAACATTCTGCCTGGCAAAAGCCAGGAATTACAGCTCAGTGGTCTTATTAAAAAATACATTTTTACATTAAAGAGATGCTAACTTATCAGTAATAAAACCAAATTAGCTGCATCTACTATTTTTCCTCTTCTCTGTTGCTAAGCAACTGAACACCCAAAAAAAAAAATTAAGCTATTCAAAGACAGTGCCTAAAGTAGCAGCTTAGAAGTTTAACCAAAGTGCCAAAAAAGCCAGAAAGCTGTTCCCAGTGCCTCTTTGGCAATGGTGTGGATGTAAGACTCCAGGCTTCTAATTCACGTGGTATTTCTCAAGGCTCCTGGTGTATTCTTATATGCAAGCACTGCAATTTGGGAAGCATTAAGACTCCAGGCTTCTAATTCACGTGGTACTTCTCAAGGCTCCTGGTGTATTCTTACATGCAAGCACTGCAATTTGGGAAGCAGCAAGCTGAGGAGAGACCTCCCTGGGGGTTTTATCTTCACTGTCTGAAAAGCACAGCTGCTTATGGGCTACCTTGGTAATGGATGCATGTCAACCAAAAAGGGAAAAACCCCACACTGAAGACATGTCATTTTGGCTCTGCCAGAGGTTAAAGCTGCTGAAGGGGCTGAGCCCTGCTAGAGACAGACCTTGATAATCTTACCTCGAGATGCCATTTGATATGGACACCTTCACTCTTTTCATGCCTTTCTTAAAGAAAAGACCTATTTGATGTCGCTCTGCCTGCCTAATCCATCCTCAAAGCACCGTTAGAGCACATCAGGCAATATCAAACACCTTTCACAGAAGGGCAAAGGTCTGTCTTCAGAATTAAATCCCCGTCTAATGGGGTGAAGCACAGGTGGCAGATTGTCATTTCATCTCACAGTGAGCCACCAACTGCCAAACGCGCTGATCAACTTGTCCCAAACCACCACAGCAATTGCTGCAGCCTGCTTAGCTGGTGGCCCAGTTTACCAGCAAGATACAGTAGGAGCTGGGTATGGCACTGGGGAACTTTAATGGAGTGACACATACTGGGGAAGGAGAGAAAGAGCTGAGGGTATATGGAAGGAGATTTAATTGCATGTATCCAGAAATACTCATCTCCACTTTGACACTACCAGCTTATAGATTCTGAACAAACAAGAGAAGTGGAAAACTAAGTGCAAACCACACTTCCCAGGTTTGCTCTCTTCAACGTATTTTTCATTTACATAAAGATGATTCATAGAGATTGACAGCACAGAATAGATTCAAAAAGCCACTGCAGGCTGGCACTTTAAGCTAAGACTATGCATTGTAAGCAACACACCATTTATAAAATTTTCTATTTTTGCTTAAACCATCAGTTCACACAATGACAGCAATTAACACACAGAACTGCACAGAGGAATTAATTGTATGCTAGATTTAGTCACAATGCAAGTGTACTTTTTTCCATCCTTTTCAGTCAAGAAAGTTGTCAAGTTAGGCTTAACTTCTAAATTGTTAACTGCAACCAACTCCTGCTCCTCCCTGTAGCACAGGGGAGAGGTCTAGAAGTGTTTGACCTTGTCCAATACAAGAAGGCAAAACATAGTGTTTTTCTTAGGTTTTCTTCCTAGTCACAAAGCTACAGATCTAAAACCAACAATGAAAAGCATGCAACATTTTTTTTTTCTAGTATTTGTTCTACGAAATCTATTTCTTAAGTGGTTGAGGAGTTAAACTTAGCCTTATTCACCTTAATATGACCACCAGAGGCTGGTTAGTACCGAATGTATTTCACCATGGGTCAAACTACATGAACTTTATGGCCAGAAGACTTTTAGATCTCCAGATTCCATAGGCTTATATGTTTACAAAAATCAACATGCAAGGATGTGCTAGCGGAGTACCATCACGGTCAGCAATCTGCAACCCACAGTAGTGATGACTGTGTAAGATAAACCAACTACTTGTCAGACACTATACTATGGAAGTTAGGTCTATTTCTAACAGATCCAAAAAGAAGCCTAAGCAGCTGAAACAATCAGCTATCTGCTCCAATTATGGATTCAAGCAGCTTTAGCCACATAGGAAAGGTGATTAAAGCTTTTACTGCAAAGTAATTACATCTTATTATACACTGTTTGTTGAATACTAACCATGAAGGAATGCATTTTCTTTTCAGATCTTCATGATATACAGTGAAAAATGGCAGAATTGCACATTGAATAAGTATAAAAATAAAATACTACGTAACTGCTGATGAAATGATGACACATCATCAAGCCTGAAAGCCAAACAAAGGTCCTGCAGGAAAAAGTGACTGCGTAATTTTATACTACCCCATCATGCACATGCACAAGGATGATGAATGAAGGTTATATGGACATGTAATAAATGTGCATTTCAATGCTTCCAAGCTAAATCCTGTTCTTTCGTCAGCAACTGCTTTGCATCTAATAAAGTGGACTGAGTAAGACCATAATTGCACCATGTGATACACTAATGCTCTCACTGTTTGGACATTTAGATCCCCACATGGGTCTCTGCCACCTGAAGCTCACAAAAATATTTTCAGTAATGTTTGGTTATCCTCTGCACGTACCAGCATCAGAGAGGAAAAATCAAAATCAAGGATACTGGAAACACTAGAAAATTCTATGTTCTGAAGTATTCTGTGGTTCAATGAAGAGATAAACTTGCCAGTTACGTTACGCCAACTGCAATTCTTTCTACCCCATGCTTTTAATTTTCTCTTCTTCCTTTTCCGTTCCCTTCTCTTGCACTAAACCTTGCTTCTTTCCTGCCCGGTCATACTCTCCAAACTTACAACCTTTCCTGCGAGGCCAAGCCCAACCAGTCAGATTCTCTACTTCCATCCCGATTAATTTATCCAGCCCCCAGCAACTGATTAATCCATCCCTTCTCTTTTCCCCCCATGACAGCAATGTACAGGTCTCCACCTAATACCTGAGGAGGGATTATGTTTTGCCCAGACAATCCTCATCTCCCAAGGTTTCCCAACTTCATCATCCAAGGCACCTTATGCTCCCAAAGCATAAGGAACCAGAACTTTACAAAGAAAAGGCTGGGCTTTTTTCCTTAACCATCAACACAGTATTTTGCCAATCACTTTTTAGGAATGCAGACTGTTCTTTAAAAACATATCTGGGAAAAGTACCTGGCAGAAAAGACCAAAAAAAAAAAAAAAAAAAAAAAAAAGGAAATCAGCAAAACCAGCAAAACTTAAAAACATCAGGCTGGAAAAGCATCCAATAATGGAAACTTTCAGCCAACCTTGAGCCTCTGCAGTGCTTCTACCTCCACCCCGTAGAGAACAAGAACTGCATTGCATGGCGGCAGGAAAGCTGCTGCTGGGCAAGTGAAAATTATTGTATGGTCAGTCCCTCTAAAGGGGTAGCAAGCATCTAGGCTCACAGATGCAGGACCTGATTTAAGAAACCATCACTGTTTCACATATCATAACATCAGCAAGCTCCCTTTTGGTGCTGCCCCATGACAGCTGGCTTGCTGGCTAACCCCGTCCTGTTCTACCTGTTGGGTTCAAGTCAATGGGGTACGCACAACTTTTGCTTTCATAGCAAAATGAAAAACCTGAGCAGACTGATTTTTTTCTTTCTTTTTTTAAAATGGACTTTTTTGTATGAGAATTTAAGTAGCATTTAGGCAGAATGTTAATGAGATTATTATAAACTAGCAACTACCCACTAACTTCAGAGAGGCTGGAACGATTTGGAGAAGCGAGTGGAGTATTTCAGAGCCCACCCAAGATACAGTCACCTTCTTTCACCACAAGCTGCCTAAAAATACATAACTCAAACATACCTATGCAATTCCAGTCTTCCCTTCAGAGGGTTTCCCCACCACCTGGGGTGTGAAGTGATGTTATTATGCCAATTCTACCCTCGGTATATGAGGACAGCTCAGAAAGTTGCTGAACTGACACTGCTGACATCCAAAGCTTAATGGTGCCTTTCCTGGGTGACAGCTGGACACCAGCCACTATTAAAACTTTCCATCTTTGCTACTTTCAGAGATCAGCTCAGATCAGTTTTGAGTACACAGTTTTTCTCACTGTGCCATTCTCTAGCATGCTCATTTCTAAATGATCTGGAAGTACTTCTAGCTTCAGCCAGGCTGGTTGCGTAATACACCACTCATCATTTTTTCCAAATCTCCCCTATTTTAAGCATTCAGTAGAAAGTCTTCACCAACTTTTCTGCAGTTAGAGAAAGCAGGCATCAAATATTTTGTTGGCACACAAAGGTGTGTCATTATTTCATTTTTCAAACACATACCCAGACTTTACAAAATGCCAACTGGAGAAAGGTAAGACTCAAGAAAAATTATTCCCTCTCAAAAATCATACTTCAGAGCACTTTCAGTTAAGGGAAATCTAT